ATTAGCGCTTCATAAATGTTTCAATAATAATAATAATAATAATAATACATACATACATACATACATACATACATACATACATACATACATACATACATACATACATACATACATACATACATTTATTATTATTATTAAAGACACTAAAAAAAAAAAAGAAATTATTTGTGACGGTGCCTTAACTAAAATGTTGTCCCACAATGTGGTGTTGACTTTGAGGACAAACTTTTTATAAATATACACACAGACACACACACAAAAATACACACACACAAACAAACACACGCATACATACACATAATTACAAATAATGGTAATAGATTTAAAAAAATAAAAAGTCATACAGAAACGTAAACAGAATGCATTGACACTTTGATCTGCCGTTGGTTGCACACATACATAATCAATACATACACACATACATGCATACGTACACACACACGCACGCACGCATACATACATACATACATACATACATGCACACACATACACACACACACACATACATGCGTACATATATATGTAATGTAATGTATAATGTACAAGTACAATATGTATGTACGTATGTTTAATAGTTAGTTCGTGTTTCTGATATAAATTATTATTGTTATTTAAATTATCCATTATTTTCATCTTTTAACTATTATAATATTTGATCATTTTACGTTTAATTGTAATTTTCATTTGCATGTTACTTCAAAAGGAGAGCGGGTTAGTAACGCATTTCCAATGAAGAATTGCAACAAGAGCCTCAGACGGAAGGAAGGCGTTGTCTGATTACATTTCCTCATAGGGACGCATGATGATGATGATCCAGCGATGAAGCAATTACATCATTATCAATTATCACTATCAGCTTTGAAAAGGAAAAAATTGTTTGTAAAAAAGCGGTTGGCCAAAAATTGACCCAAAATAATAATAGTTAGGAACATGTCCGAACACAAATGTGCACAGAAAACGATCAAGCAAACAAGAGCCAGCGTGCACGCACGTACAACTATTTGCAATGCAGAGCTCTGCCTGGTGTACATGCTGCATCTAATTTTTTGAAGTTGTACAATGTTTACAGATGCCACTGGACGTCGACAAACAAAAAACTTATTGCTTCGGTTGGTGCTGTTGTTGATTGTTTGTTGGCTGGTGAGTAATGATGTCGCAATGCATTGAAATGTTGTGCACGCGTCAGAGGATCGACTTTGAAATTTTGCGAGGATGAATGTTGTTTGATTGAATGCAGTGCTGGATCAGCTGGACGATAAGAAGATGGTTTTCAAAAAAGTTTAAAAAACTCAATGTTTATTAATTAAAAAAATAAAACCCAATTCAACTTTAAACAATAATAATTCAAATAACCAGCCTATTCATCGTTTTAAAATTAAGAAAATAAATTTTTACCAAAAAAATGTATTGACGATATTTTTTGTGTCTTTTTAAGTTTGTGCATGATATCGTTTGGAGTCCGTGCATGTGCAAGTTTTTATGTGACTCTTATATGCATATGCATGCACATGTATGTGATGTGGCATGTTTATGGTTTGAGGCTGTGTGTCGCAGGTACCTGCTTCGAGAGCAAAGAGATCCTCCACACCAATCACGGGTTGAAATGTTCAATGCAGTACTCTGCACTTACGTACTCAAATGTGCATGCTCTGTGTACGTGAGAACTTCTCCAACATTATGTTTCTGCAAATCTATAGCCTTAATCCAAATTTTATATCTCAATCAGGATCGTCAGCAGGGTCACTGTTGTCGATGGAGATGTTGCGTTGCAGGGATGGCACAGTTGCGTTGCTATGCCGGATTATGCGGTGGGTGGTAGGAAATCAGACTAAGCAAGTGTTTGTGTCTGTGAATGCAAATAAAAATGAATTAATGAATGTGAAAATGCATCGGGTGGATGCACATGGTTCAAATTTCATCTCCCGTTCGAGTACGTTTTTGTTTGTTCGGACCCATCAATTTATTTCCACTTGAATCGGACCGGTGCCATTTTGATATTCTGTACAGCGTGCACCACACATAAATTTATTTCAGTTGAGTTCTATGTAGAGTTCTCGTTCGTTGCTTGCAGTTGCTACCCAACATGTACGTTCGTTATGCAACGCGTTGATGTGTTCTAGCAGTTCTGCGTTTTCAATCGCATTCATCAGCAAACAAAAACAGCAGTAGTAGTTGTACGATGTCGTTGCGATGTTGTTGCAATGTCGTTGCGATGTTGTTGCTGTTGTGTTACCAAAAATCATTCTGATGAGATTTAAACTATGGCACTAGTTATAAAAAAATTTAAAAATATTTCAATAAGTTGGACTGCCAGTATTAGACAACGGTTTTTGTACAGTGCTGAATGTTGTTGTTGTTGTATACAAATGTAGATTGTTGCAAGTTGTTGCATGTTGTTGTATGTTGTTGCAAGTTGCTGCATGTTGTTCTACACTGCCGTATACTGTTCCATATCATTGCATCCTACCACAGCCAAGCGTGCTCTGCGTTCAAGAGTTAAGAATGCGCCTAAGTATTTCAGCAGGCTTATCGCTATCCTGCTTCCGTTTGAAACTTTTCATCATTCATGTTGTAGACAACATTATGGAATGCCAGTCTAGAGCAACAACAGCAACCACAACCACAACAGCAACCAAAACAACAACCACAACCACCACCACAACAACTACTACTACAACCGCTACCACTACTACAACTACAGAAAAAACATCAATCATCTCGATAACAAAAACCAATGACGATCTATTTTTATTACTATTATTATTATAATTATTTTTATTATTATTGTTCATTAGCGGCAAAAAACATACTCTCAAGAGTAATAATAATAATAAACAAAAAAATAATATTAACGATAATAGCTACAACATTAATACTACTGATAAACTTTATTTTCATTGCTACTGCTGCAATTAACACGGACGCAAATGATACGATTAAAGAACCAGCAGATGAAATTGGATTAGTATTTACAGTAAGAACTTTATTACGAACAACTTTTCTCTTAAGAAGAGATTGTGAATTATTCCTTTGTAATTTATAGGTGTATTATAATAAAGCGCTACATCAACATTGTTTATGGTTTGCATCCATGCGTGTAGGCACGGTGCTGTGTGTTGGAGATGGAAGGTGCATGGCTGGGAACCACGCATTTGGAGGTGATTGAATCTAGTGAAGTCAAATGTTTGAATCGCAAAGTTTCTCTTCATCGATTCCATTTAAAAGACCTTTGAATTATGCTCCTGAAGTTTTCTCCGTGAGTTTAGAATATCGATGAACGCTCATTAGCAAGAAACATGCAGACGACCGACCAGGAACCATGCTGGAGTTTTCCAGTTAAAGGTTAAAAGTTTAAAAAAAAGGTTAAAGGTCAATTACACTCTTCCAAAGTTCAGAGGATTCAGCCAAGCGCACAAACGACATAGTATATGAATACACGCTAAACGACGCATCACACACGGGGATCTTTTTGTCATATTCAAACCCGGTTACTGCGAAACCGCACCAGGCGACCTTAACCATTAGACCATCACGCCACCCAGTTACAACACAGATGTACCGTACACACTAGGTTTGCGCCACATCTTAACAACGTTCATCCATCCATCGTTTATCCGTTCATCCATATGAAATGGCGCGAACGTAAAATTTCAATAAAAAAATTTGTAATGTGAAGTGGCGTGTGTGTTGTTCCCTTCCAAGTGTCCTCAAGAAACGCTCTGGAATTAACACAAACTTGCTTGATAAATTTTAGAATCATGTTGCTATTATCATCATCATCATCATCATAACCATCAACATCGTCATCAACATCCTCACCGACATCATCATAATTGTCACACTCATCATCATCATCATCATCATCATCATCATCATCATCATGACGTCTCACGAATTGTCACATACGAATAAACATTTGGTTAATCGATCGTTCTGTCATCCATCCCATTTGGAGATCATCATTTCATCATCGCTGCCACGTTTGGGATGATCATTATTAATCACCATCACCATCATCATCTTTATTATGATTATTGTTATCACTACCACGACAATGAATGATGATTCAACGTTAGTCAATAGAATGATTAGCAAGAATGCTTCAGCTTTTACTCAACAAAAACATGCGATTATAATTTTAGCCATCTATCGCAACAAGCAACAACAACGAAAACAACAACATGTGTAGCAACATTCATTGTTGTTGTATGTATATTATATACACACAACGACAAAAACAACATGTGTAGCAACATTCACTTCTCCACAATAAGTTCAAAGCAAAAACCACACAAACAAGACCACAGGCAACCTTATATTATTATTATTATTATTATTATTATTATTATTATTATTATTATAAACTAAAATATTAATACTACTACTTAAATTTAATAATAATTATGTTGACGATAAATCTAATTTAATAACAAGAAATTTGAAGTAATAATAATGGTATTAATAATGGTAGCAATAACAATATAAGAATAATAATGGATACTGTATCATCATGTTTGGCATCCACGAGAGACGCCGGACGATGGAGCAGGACCCGACTTTCCCCTCATAAACAGGCAGCCGACCTCTGCTACAATGCTCAGTCCTGGAACATCACTACATTACATCAACAATTGCGAAGAAGCAACAGATTTCCCATTCCAGTTGAAAGAAAGCTGAACTGGAACAGATGATTGATGGGATTTGAGTGTTTTATTTTCACATTAGTAACTTTATATTTGCATGTACGTACGTTTTTAAACTCAATTTAAATATTAAACTGACCTACTCTAGTTGTACACATTCTATACTATGTCGAGCAATATAGAGACAAGGTTCAGACTGTATAAAAGATATTATTGTCTTTTTATTGACTTTATTGCAACTCTATGTTTACTATAAAATTTGATTGATAACGCCAAAATAATAAGAATGATTGAACCCCAATTGAACAATTAAACCAGCCCCTCTAAAATGTACTCACTTGCAGTGACGAGCATTTTAGATCAAATAGCAAATATCAATAATGAAATAATTATAAAATCCTATTTAGAGTTAGAAAACAAAAGGATGTTCTCAATATTATTATTCACGCTAAAATATTTTTGTGAATAAATGAAATTTTAAAAAAATATATAAAAAACACAAATTATAAGAATGCCTGGGGGATTGCTAGCAGGGTAGGTTCTTTCAGACGGAGCAAGATGGCTGGTCCACCTCGAACGTTAACATTTCCTGATTATAAAAGCTGCCACATAAAATAGCGATGTGTTCTATTTGCATGGGCATACAAATGTTTACGTACGTCAGAAAGAAGCTATTTAGTGGTGAGCAGCAATTTATTGAATGGTGGGAAGGAATATTTTTGTTTTAATATTCATAATATAATGATAATATTTATATTATTAATGTTAAAATGCCTATATTTAATTAAGGCCATACGTACCATTGCTTCAAACACTGCCCGGACAGACCAACAAACACACAGTACAAACCAACGGACACACAGTACAAACCAACGGACACTTAGGACATCAAAAGACACATAAGACATAGGAAATTAAATTAGTAATAACATTAAGATCGGTATTTTTAACAATTTTGGTATTAAAAAGGGATTGTGTATTAATCTTTTATTCACAGGGTGGAGATAGAAAGTTAAACAGACATACAAAGCAGAAACCAGACGAAACAAAAAATACAACGTACAAGGACAGAAACTAATGTTTATTTAAATCATTTGCACCTCATCACGCCCGACGGGAAACAATTAACGGGTGATGTATTGCAAAGACAACACAGCCTAACATTAGCGTATTTCACAGCACGCATTTTTTGTAATCATTATGTTGTTAATGTGATATGGGCCCTATCGTTAATCATATTGCTGCCATTAGGACGTTGTAACATTGTGTGTTAGGTATTCACGCGACTATGTGTCTCTGCAACTGTTTCCATAAAATACTCTTTCATTAAGTTACTTGTCTTAATGTTTTTGACTGGCTGCTTTTAGTTTACTAGTTTGATGTTTCATTCGGTTACATTCCTACTAATATAACGAACAGTTCTGTTGCACTGTGGTTTTAAATGAATCAAATCAATCATTATTTCAGCGTTGCCATCATTTTTATAGCACCAGTGAAGTTTTCAATCGTCAGCGAACGCTCTAATTGAGATTGATGGTTGCCGGGCATTTTGCTCGGGCATCAATTGAATTAAAACTGTTGTTTACTCGTTATTTAATATGAAGCTTCGTGTTTTCCATGGATTTAATCAAATGAAAACATTGCGCGACGTGGCCCCACAAATTTCAGTCCGTGATGTTTGCTTGTTAAGAAACGGTGTTAAATTTTCATGGCGTTGTTAACAAGCAATTAGGCGCTAATGCTTCCGCAAACTTTATTTATTAAGCGACAAAACATCCATCTACTTTTTTAAATTGAACCTCAGGAAAAAGTCTTACGCCGTTATACTTTGTACATTTCAAATTTAATAACATTTATTCTTCATTCAGAATAAATCAAAAATTAAAGTAAAATAAATTAAAAATAAAAATACGAAATCAGCGATGTTCACCCTCTTGAACAGAAGACAGTTATGAACACCAACCAATTAGTTTTGCAGACTATGGTAGTGATAACATGGAGGTAGGTGATGGTAGCTGCTGACTTGAAAACAAAAACATAAACAACAACTAATAGCCGGATTGCATCAACACTTTACAACTACAACATTCAACAACCACAACATTCAACAACGAAAACGACAACATTCAACAACCACAACACTTAACAACAACAACAACATTCAACAACTAAAACACTCAACCGCAACA